TTTTCATGGGAATGTTAATAAAGAATGGATGGAAAAAGGCAGAAAGGAAAAATGTCGAAAGGAAAAAATATCGAAAATAAAAATGTCGAAAACAAGAATTTGAGATGAAAATGAGCATGTAACGTTGAATTGAGGTCGAGGGGGACTTGTACCTCAATATACTCTCGTTTTCCGCATTTCTATCCATCTACGTTTGTATTATTTCTGTTTTCGATATTTTTATTTTCGATATTTTTCCCTTTCTGCCCTTTTTCCATCATACCCATGATCGTATCCACGAGCTACTTTTTTCAACGACTCAACTATGAGTTCCATTGAGGTGAAAATGCCTTGAATTTTCGGCCAGTCTTTTGCCCATGTTTCATGTCAAGTATTGTTGCCACAAAATATGTATATCGTATCTACACATGTCATGTTATGAGTGTCAGATACAAGGTCTTCACCTAAGAATCCCGAAAAGATGACGAAGGCTTTTGCGTCATGGATGTTGTTTAAGAATTGAATGCATTCTGTCGGTGTCTTACAAAGACCTACATTGGTGACGACGCTTCGTAATTGCTCTAATTTATATTGACAATCTTCGTCTATACGGTCAACACTACCGTCGACCCAAATGACCAAATAGTTTTGAACGATACATCGTCTTGGTACCACAATATTTGATGAGGCTTTGGTATTGGTAATGGCAACCATTGTTAATAGTGAATTATTTTGCTTGGAATTCTATTCTTTTATATTTGATAGTGCCTAGTAATGGATCAACAGTCGTCAGCGGCGAATACTTGATTATTGTTTAAATAGCAACCACTTTTTCAATTTATAAATACCATGCTGGGTGTATTTTTCTTTTCTTTTCTTCTCAATGTGAACTGCAAATTATTTGTTAATAGAGAACAACAAATTTTACAGATTTTCATACTGAAACAGAAAAACAACCAAGGAGACAATTGATTGTATTGCAACGGGTGTCGCATAATAAATGGCCAGTTTTTGTCACCAATGAAAGTATATGAGTGAAGAGCACGCCTATGGTACCGTTTGCAAAAAAATCGAAAAAAATAAATTGCACGATAAGAACAAACTAAGTGCAGCGTTTGATTGAGTGATGTCAAAAGTGTGTGAAAATGGCATTTTCCCTACACTTTCCTATGGTACAGTGGAGATTCATGATATTACAGCCAATTTCTGTATACTATATGCATATATCGAGCAATTTTGGTATAATTACTCCCACAAAAGCCACTTAACATATTGCGCCCGATGGGGTCCACTAGTGGACCCCACTATATTTTAACAAGAAAGTTGATAGAAAAACGCTTTCATTTCTTTTATTCTTAGGCGGAGGGTGTGGTTGTGGGCTAGGAGACCACTCTAGCACTCACACTCACACCCACACCCCACCCCCATTGTATCTCTGGAACATGTTGCAGATTAAGATTAATGAAGTTCGAAGCAACGTCTTTTTCTAAAGTTCTGGTTGCTATTGTTGTATGAGAGATTTCTTCTCTAAAGTTCTGATATCGGCTGTCATGTGCAGGAAATTTTCGCAATAATTCCACTTGTACTGCAAGACAGGAGAAATGAAATTTGTCGAGATTTAGTTCTGTTTTGCAAGACTCTACCATAAAGCAATTGGTGGAAATTGGCACACCTCGACTGAAGATGCTGTCCTGCCGCTGCTGGTGTGTACTTGCGAATAAATATTTTTGTCAAAAAAAGTAAAAGACAATGAACAAAAAAAAGTAAACAAAATAACAAAGATTAATTAAATGAATAATTTAATAAGGAATTGTAACAAGAATGCAAGAGCGATAGTTTTTATTTTTTGTATATTATCATATGTAGGATTTTATAAATTCCATAAAATTCTGGATGCTGTGTGTGAAGTTTGGATTCGATTTGGTTTTGGTACGAGATTTATTACTAGTTGAGAAATTTCACCATCTACATATGATTCCTCTGTTTGAAGTCCACTCAAAAAACGCCAAAACCCAGGACGGGCTCGATCTAAGATACCATCAAGTCGTTGGTGCTATCCTTCGACGACGTTGTTAGTGTGATTGAACTGATTGCGCAGTCAGTTTTGTACATTCCAAAATATGATTGGAAACATTGGCATTATTCTTTTATTGTGACTTCGAAATCTACCTATGCAGTAATCTTCAAAATAACTATTATTCGACTCCTTTAAATAATTTCAAGGAAAATTGACGAACGGTGCATGCACATGATCGTCTTTTCTCATAGTTGTTTTTCACACCATTGTCTTCACAGAACAGTCATAGACCTAAGATATATTAGGCTTTTAAAATAATTTAATTTTAAATATTTATAATAATCAATTCTCTATAACCAACATACAATTAACAGCGACAATTGCTTGTTTACTGCATTGTGTTTTATTCAATAAGTTGTCAAATTAAAAGATAAATGAAAAAAATAGAAAATAGTTGGTTTTTTGCGGTATTCTCACATCCGAACCGAATGTTTCAAAGATAGTGTTTGATCAATTATTTTTTTTTGCATGTTCTGCGTATTTATTTGCTTCGTCCTTGTTTCCTAGATGTGTATGAACAATCTCTAAGTTATTTAATGTTCGAGCAATATCTGCATGACCAGCTGGTAAGAATGCTTCTTGTAATTTCAATGCTGATTCATATTCTTGAAGAGCAATTTTATAGTTTCCAATAGTCAGATGAACATTACCTAAATTAACTTTTAGTAGCGCTCGACTTGGATGAATTGGTGGAAGACGACTATCATAAATTTTCATTGCTTCTTGATATTTATGTAATGCTTCTTCAAACTAAAACAAGACAATTAGTAAAAGAATATCTTTACATTAAAACATTTTCTTACATTTTGTCGATCACAGTCAATAGTACCCAAATTAATTAACGTTCCAGCAACATCAATATGGTCTTTTGGAAGACTTATTTTATATAATTCCATAGCTCCTTGAAAACATTCTTCAGCTCTCACTTGTCGTCCCATCTCACTATAAACAATTCCAAGATCATTCAAACATTTTCCAGCACTGGCTAAGCGTTCTGGTCGAGCATGCATATTTAACTTATATGCACGATTATAACAGTTTATTGCACGATGTAATTTACCTTGTAATCGGTATATACGACCAAAATTAAAAAATATACAAGCAATTTCTTCATCATTTGGATTTGATGAACGAAGAATTCTATCAAAATATCGTTCAGCTTTAGCATATTCACCCATTTCAATAAGTAAATCACCGAAGAGTAACATTATATTTGATTCTCTCATCTTTTTCTTTTCATATTCAACATATTCAGAGACGAGATCAGTTGCATGAACTTTAATATGCCATATAGATCTTCGGCAGCATGATGTTCACATGAATCAATTTGAAATACCGACCCTACAGATACAAATAAGAATATCATTTAAAACATCAAACGTTCTCTTATCACAATCAGATGTTTTACTCATGAACAATTTAGGAAAACATTTTTAAATAGATTATTAGCTGGAAAACTAACGGACATGCCAGGTATAATAGCCGTGCTTTGTATTTCAATTGTTATTTGCTTAATATATTGTATTTAAAAAAAAACACAAAATATAATAGAAGATGCACCGTGAAAAACTTTAAAACTTGCATATGACTACTCTTTTTCTAACTGCACATTTTTACTTTCAAAATAGTTATTATTTTGAGGAGAAATCATTTAATTGTGCGAAAACTGGTTGCGCAGAATTTGGCTTTCTGAAAATAGTTACAACAATCTGTACACTGCTAATTGTAGAACTTTTCATGCTACTTCTTGTCATGCATTTTATTTTTTTTCACATAGCATATTTAGTGAATGCAAACTCAAATGCAAAACGCAGCCATTCATCCTAGCGAACACGTTATTCGACTAAAGCTATCACATGTTTTCACCTGTCATAACTCAAAACTATTATTTGTACAATGAGAATTTTACCAGAAACTTTACAATTAGCGGATAAACTATGCATATGAAGATAATGCAACTATTGTATTAGGTATATTTGCCGTCAACTGCTGTTTAGCTAAGTCAAATGTTTATCAAATTCAAGAAACCTTAAATTCGTTTCGATTAATTAATTTTTTATTCATATATAAATAACTTCATGCGAATCTTAGTCATTTGAAAGCTATGTAAGCCTTTTTCTTGCAACATTAAACATTTTTTGAATAAAACAAACTTCAAAATTATCAATCATTGCGTCTTAATTTCTAAACTTGATGCATTCTAGCATCTGTTCATCATGAACATCTGGCTCATGATATGAGAATGATTTTCTATTTAGGATCTCTTGAAAATGTTCGATTTTTTCTCTTCTGTATTATCAGTATAATATTATTTTTGTGTAATTCTTGTTTCTTTTTTTCAGAAAACATGGAATGATGAGTACAAAAGTACACTTGATATTTAGATACTCTAAATCTATTACGATTGATTGAAAAAATGTTCAATTTATTTTTCCTCTTACCGCAATCAATGATAAATTCAGCTTGTTCAGGAAATGCTGAATATTGTCTAACATTAGCGATAATAATACTCTGAACAATATTTAAATCTATTGTATATTCGAATAAAGTGCGTACAACACCTGGTGATTTAACAGATTTTGTTACAAAATCATAAGCCATTGAACGTTCGCTAGTTGTCGATAAATATGTACTATTTGCTATTAAATCTTCAACACTGTTTTGATAATTAGTCACTTCTTCCTGACTTAATTTTACGCTACGATAAAGTTTTAAAACACCTTTTTGTGTTTTTTTAAGTTCTTGAAATTTTAATTCAAGTTGTTCACTTAAATCTGTAATAAAAAAACGAAATTGATACATAAGATCGATATTTTGTGTTCGAAGAGTTTTATTAACAATTCTAAAAAAAGAAAGATTCCAATATTGTTTTTTGTTATTAGTGTTTCTCTTTTCATAATTAACTCACTTGTGAAGAAATTTGTCTTGCATATACCATATAATGGCATCCGATGCTTTATATGCGCGATCAAATTCATCGATATTTGCTAATTCAATTGAATTTCCTCGACAGTAATCTCGACATAGTTTTACCATTGTTTTTTTCGCTTCGTCTGTTTTCGGCATATTTTTAAAGACAGATTTAAATGATTGAAAAACTATAAATGAACCCTGTTCTTTTGAAAGATCATATTTTTCTTTTTCTTTTTTATTAAACATATGAAATGTAGCTGCATGTTTTTCAAGATCTTCGAGAGATTTCTTTATTGATTCTAGAAGAATGCTGTCCTTTTCACACCAATTAAGTATATAATGATGTTGTTTTTGATTGATTGCAGTAAGAGCATCCGGTGATGGAAAATAAACAAATACAGAATCAATTTGGATTAATGATTCCATTGCTTCAATAAGAGTTTTTGATGGTACACCATCAATTATGAAAAATATTTTGTTTTTTGTGGACTTAATATGTTCTACACATTCGATTTCATCAGTAAAAGTCTTAAAAAAATATTCAAATATATGCAACATAGAATATTTCGTATAAATTTACTTGAACATCCTTGTATCGTTCACTGAGAATATTGATCAAAGTTTGATTTGGTGTTGATAATGCAATATAAACTAATTCTATTTGATCATGATGAGTTATTTCTTCTTCGTCATGACTAGTTTCTGTTGTTTCCTCTTCTTCTTGTTGTCCATCATCATCATCATCGTCACTAATCATGTCATCTGTTATATTGCTTAGTCTTTTTTTTATAACCTTTTTCTTAAACCATTTTAAAATCGGCATATTGAGCACCACTATAACTTAAAAATAAATATAAATAATTGGCGTCGATTTCTTTTCATTTATAAATACAAAATAAACATGTTAATGATTCACTTGATTGATCACGATAGTTATGAAGAGAAAAAAAACATTATTTCTTCTATAAAATATAATGAATAATATTTCATCATATTCGATTAATGGTAGAATGATAGTAATTGAGATTCGAGTCACATCATTGTGATGACAGTAAGTTTCTATTTTTGAAAAGTCTAAATGTGAGTTTGGTGATTTTATAATAGATAGATTGTACTGAGTCGCACGGATGGCAATGTATTTTCGATATGTACCGTATGACAAAAAAACAAACTTTGAGCGAAATGATTTTTTTCTCTTTATCAAACTACATTATCTAACGAAGTAAAAATCCGTCGCAATTTAGTCATATTGATGATATTTGAGGGTTGTGGGTGTCTGTAATTTTTTATTTCATGTATAAGTAAGGCTTCGCTAATTTTTCTTGTAATAAAAGGATTGCTGCAGTTGCGTCTAAAGAAAAACATTTTTTAATGACGTTGATTTATCAATGTTTTATGTATGATATAAGTGTTGTATTGAGAACAGGAATTTAATATTTTAGATATAATGCTATGAAATTCGGCAGCAAAGTAATCTGTTTCAAGTAACACTTCTATAAACATGAATTACATCTATATGGAAATATTTTTCTCTTAACAATCCAAGTCTTAAAGCAAAAAGTCTTACTTGAACATGTAGAATGAGTTTTAAAGTTCACATTCCGTTATAAAAAGCATCTTTTTATTTGCATATTTATTTAGATGAGTTCGAAAAAATATTGCTTTTCTAATTGATTTGATTAATTCATTAAATTATCATAATTTTTTATAAGTAAATGATTTTTTTAACTATTGTTCTAAACGTTTAGTTATTTTATGAAAATTTGTCTGGCACATCAAATATTAGTGGAGCAGATTTATAACTACGATTGGAAATATAAGCAGAATAAATGTTTTCTACTGAAAAGTGGCTTCCTATCGGGTTCTCTATTTTTTTTTGCTGTTTCAGATAACTGTTGTTCGCAGAAAATACATCTATATGTGAAAATTTTCAAACATATCATTTCTTTGGATAACAGAAGTATAGGCAACTCGACAATAAATCAAAAATGTTTTGAGAACAATCTTTTTATTTGAAAAAAAAACTGATTCTCTCGAATATCTTTTTCAGTGAAATTCGTTTACTGAAAAGCAGCTAGTTTCAAAACCTTTCAAGATGTTGCAAAACAAAGGTTAAAACATCGACAAACGTGATCCATTAGTGTTTTCTAATTTTTGCACCTAATCTAACTTCAGTCTAAACGTTCATGCTTAGTTTCGATTGGTAGAACTAAAAGAAGAATAACGAGCTACTTGAAACTATCATCTAATAGACTTATCGGAGTTCATCGAATTAGCTACGAACCTAAATTCATTTAACAAGAATCTAATCAAAATCTAAGTCATCTTTATATTCTTTTCTTTGTTCCTACGCTTGTTAATTTGTATTATCTAATTATATACATGTATTTTCTAATCAAATAAAATTCAGCCAATAAACCATCTATTGATTTGATGATTTTTTTAATAATAATTCTTTATTGTGTTATTTTAGTTGTTTATATTGTTGATTAATATGTTCAAGAGTTTTTGTTAATGAAATTAGTTATTCTTTTATGTAAGCAATAATTTCTTCAAAGGAAGCTTCATTTGAAAGTGATAATGTGTTTTGTAAGTTTTCTCAACCGTAATGGACAATTAGAAAAGCGGAACTAAATAAGTTTGTTGTATACTAGATTTGTGATTAATCTTAAAGTGGATTAATGAAATTTTATTCTTTCATGGGAAGTTCATTCGTGATTAAATTTATTAGAGATTTTTATCGAAGATTAAAACTAATGTAATAAAGATAGTCGAATATATAATTGTTTTGTATTTTGCTTGACGATTTATCCGAAAACATATTAAAGGTAGTGTGAAAGTTGGTCTTCAGATTCTTTTCATCCATACATATACACTTAAATTAATACTTAAGAGAAGATGTTATTGTGATAACTTCATATCTTTTACTTGTCAATAGTGAACAAACAGATACTAAGGACAATAGAGATAATGAAATTAAATCAATTCAATTCTTAAATTGCTATACTTCTGTACTTTTTGTTTTATTGAATTCATTGATCTAGTATGATTGCGTAGAAGACAAACAGAAGAAGAAAGAAATAGAAACGACGAAAATCACCAATCTATTAGGTTGTCAACAAAGGTCTTGCGGTTTTTTTTAAATTTTTTAAAACACGTGGGAAAGTTTTAGAAGTTTCCATACTGAGGGTATATAAAGGGAGAGTGAATATTTTTCGAATAGTATTAAAGTCATTGAGATGGACTTTGATAATAAACTGAAAATGAATCTTTCTCTTAAGGAAATTCTTTCAAATGGTTGCATCATAAGTTCTGATCTCTACTGTCAACAATTAGACCAGGTTGCCGAAAAACTCAAGAAGAAGCAAGATTGAATTTATTATTTGCATGACAATGTGAGACCTCATCTTGCAAAGTCGACACGTGAAAAATCATTGAATCTCGGATGGATAACCAACCGTTCATCATCCATCTTATTCTGGTGACCTGGCTCCAACAGACTACCATTTGTTTCATTCTCTTTCTAACCATATACGTGGAAAAAAGTTCAACGACGTCAGAATGGAACTTGTCAACTTCTTCAGTCAAAAGTTCAAGAACTTCTACCAACGCGAGATCCTATCTTTGCCCGAGCGTTGGCGGCAAGTCATAAATTGTAATCGTACTGTTGTAATTAAAAAATAAAAATAAAATTTTTTTGAGGAAAAAAGGCAAAAACTTTGTTGACAAACTAATATTATAAAATCTAAGCCATGACTAAATACAAATATTGCTACATAAATGAATTATGACACTAAAAACAACAAAAGTCAATTAAAAGAGCTAAGAAATAATGTCATCACCGTAACAATTTGGTTTCCATGAAAAGAATTGTTATTTAATCATTTCTGGAATTATTAGCAAATTAAGTTAAATTTAATATTTTATTCCGACAATATATTTGACATGAAAAAAAAGTTAATCTGATTATTGTTATCTTTAAATCAAGATATTCATAAGTTATTTCGTGATACAAATTCTATGTATGGTTTAAGATAATTATTATTTCAAAAACTAAACTATTAAAATAAAAATATATTGATATAGATTAAGAATAGCGGCGTACAATCAATTAAGCACAAGATGAATCTTTCCATCATTAAAAAAAAAGAAAATATTCAAAGAATCGAATAGAATAAAATTAAATCTATCAACAATTAACATGATCATACAAAATATTGGTGAAAAATAGTATATCTCTATATTTATATTTTTGATGTTCATTCCAAGTATCATCATTCCATGGTTACTCATTCAATACGAAACTATACTTATAGAAGAAAAATGAATGATTTTATACATGTGTTCATAGAAATAAATGAATGTGAGATAGTATGCATTTTGATGTCTTCACTAAAGTCAGCCTGACAACTCGACACAATAACTAACGTAAAACACATTTAAGACTATTCAGTACTCACCATGGGAGAATTTGTGAAAGAAACCTTTATTGTATTTTCAAATGGTCGATCTTATTTTAAAATCAATGTATTCTTTTGCAGGATTGAGAGAGAGAACATTCTATGTGCTGTTACTATAAGAGAAAAAGCAAACATTACAGCACATGACCACAATATGGATATTTGTTTTAAAAAAATGACAGTGAAATGTGTTTTTTGCCATTTGAATAATATCAGTTAATTGACTTTTTCGATTCTAGAGTTTAGAAAATTCTACGTTGGACAATGATTGAAATCCTATTATTCTAGAGGAAAATATTTTTAAGATTTACGAAATAAATTGAAGAACTCTTACTCAAATAAATTTCCTATTGAAACATGTATGGATGTTTTATCAATGTAGTATGTACTTAATAAAACTTTAAATTCGATGAAACTTTCACAGAATGTTTCTCTCTCTTTTTTGGTATATTTGCTTGGTTGACATTAGAATAAGACATATATTTTCTTATCATTCATTTCATCATTTTTAAAATAAAAATTTTTTCAATAAAACTTTAAGATTACATAATCATGATATTCTTTCTATTGAACAATCGACATCGATATTTACATGAATAAAACATTGCTTTTCATAAAAAATAAATCATATTCACAGATAAAAATAAATATAATTTCCACTTGAAATATTTTGTATAGAAAATTTGAATGACTCTTTAAATTTTCATAAACTTTCAATTGGAAAACATATTTCTTTGTTGTTGAGATAGTGAACATTCTTCGAATATTTTTGACGTGAGTAAGTATTTTTTTATAAACTCAATATCCTAGCACAAAAAAAACATTATTAGTATCCGAAAATTTTAAGGATTTTCTGCGAACCATTGAATGCATCTAATTTAATGAGAACAATGCATTTTTAATTTTTTATAAGTTTCGTCGGAAATTTCATTGTTACCTTAATAAGAATACAGTAAGAACTTTTAAGAAAATTTATCTATCAATACTCAATCGTCATTTGAACTAATCCTTTCAGAAGATTTATCGATTGAGAAAGTTTTGAAATACTGTTCATCAACAATAACAAGAAAGGAAAAGATTCGAAATAGATACGATACTAGTCGTATGCTTTTTGAATGATCTCTATTTCTTTCCATTATTTATTTTAAAAGAAATTGAAGACTCTTCTTTTCATAATAACACTTTAGAAACTTGTTATTTCCTTTCAATAGCAATTAAAAATTAAATATATCGATAAAGATTTCGATTCTGTCAAAACGTATCTCAGAGTGGATATGTTGATGTAAATAAATACAAGAATAACATCCACACTCTTAAGAGAAAGCTACTCAATCACCAAAACTGCGTACAATGCATACCGATAAATAAATTTGATAAAATTTCGACTACGAATACATTATTAATTGATCAGATAAACAAAAGTTCTTGATGAATATTTATTTTACTTTTATCTTAATTCTTTGTACTTATTACTCAAATCATACATCCATTATACTCATGACATTTAAAAAAATTCGAAGTGCTGATTAGAAGTTATAGCCGTAAGATCTTTATTAAGATACAATAATTAAAATAAAATTTTGTAAAAATTTCAATTTGGTTGGGTGTTATGTATGCAAACTGCGTCGTTTTTTTTTTGTCGAAAGTCTCTTCTGTTATTTAGACAGCATAGAAAGGCTATACTTATTGTTTTTGTCTATCTTTTTTCTGACTTTTTAAAATTTCTTTCGATCAAATGTTTTCTTTAGAAGCATTGTTCATAGCAATGATAAACATATATCATGGAAAGTAGACAAACAATCACAACAAACAAACAAAAAGAAGAATTTTTGTAAAACAAAACGCATTTTAAATGGAGCACACATTGATACTCATTTTAATATAAAGTGAAGTTGTTAGTATTGTTGTATAGCAGACAATGATGGACTTTCTTCACTATTCGATAAACAAAAATAACTATCATTAAGATGACACTGAGACAAGTTTTCAGTAGGATGATATGAAATCTATAATTTCCAACGTAGTTGTGATTCACTGAATTACATAAAATTTGCAGAAAGGATATAGATAGTAAAGAGAAGATACAAAAAAGCATATATCTACATCCATTGTTATCAAATAAGCTTACTTACTTGCAAGGCAGTTCGGAAAATAGTTTCGTCATGTTATCTTACCAATTTAATAATTCTTACAATAATCATTCATCTTGCTTGTGAACAAGTCTTTTTATTCATTTTCATTAAAAACTCATGATCATTGTATATCAAATAGTTCACTAATAAATACTATTTTAATTTACATATAAATGATGCAAATGATTGTTTTTCACATTTTGATACTTCATTAAATTATTCATTTATTATCAGTGAAAATAATCAAACAAAACCTTATGTTGAATGTGTAAACCAAAAACATGAAATTTTTGAGTTAAATAAACAAAATGAATTAATTATTAGAAAAGTCTTGATAATAAATATAAATCATCTTATAAATTAACAATTAATATTCAAAATTTATTTGAACATTGAACATCAATCTCAATAAATATTTATCATAATAATAGAAATGATAATCCAGGTGAATTTTGATACAAATTCAAACAGAAGACAAGAATAAAAATGACTATTTACTTCATTCTATTCATCCCATTCATTTAAGTTAAGTACTAAATTTAATCGAAAACAAATAAATAACTTTCTATTTCGGATAATTGGTAATGATTCTTTACACATAGATACTATTTTAATTGAAATTCATATTAATAATAATAATCTAGTAAAGTTACAATCCTCATCTTGTTTTAGTTTATACCATAATGAAAATATTCAAATTCAATTTATTTATTTAACCAATTTTAAATAAATATTCATTTGATATTTAGAAGATAATCATCATTTCATTTAATTTGATCAATTAACTATTCGTATTTCTTTATGAAATCCTATTCTCCTTATGAGTATTTTTCTTTCTGAGTAGAAGCGCGGATATGAATGTAATCTTACTACCTTTCTACATCCACATTCTCAAGATAGATTGCTACAAGTTCATTATATAAGAGTGTATAGTTTGTCTTCCATCTCAATGTCATTTTGTCTGAGTTTTCGAATCAACACCAAATTCGATGTGTTTAGTGTCACAGGTGCTCGATGAAATAATACTTCAAACAATAATAAATTATTATTTTCCGAAATGGTTCTTCTTAATCAATATTTGTCAACGTCTCAGAAGCAAAGTAACGATTATTTTGATTTCCATAATTTGGGAGTTGTTTTCTTTTCCGATCTCTATTGAATAATTGACTAATTATTTGCAAAAAACATTCATCATATGCACCTTACCCACACTTTTAAGTGAAATCTTCTTCTAGAAAAATGAATCATCGATACGAATGGTGTGACTGCTGGTGTCCTCTTAACCCACACCCAACGATTGTAGATATATAAGAAAGATTGTTCAAATTCAGCGTGCCTTTTTTTCTATGCTCGGTTCAGACTACGACATGTAATTTGTTAGTTAGATTTCAATTAAATCAAAATATTAGAGTTAGAGCACTCCTTATACTAAAAATGATAAACAACAGTGACTTCATACGTTAAACACATATTTTCACTGTTGATTGTATCGAAATAAATAACTTTATATGGACTTATGAACGAGCTGTTATAAATCTAACTATATCTATCACATATAGGAATATATAGTGTAATAATACGATGAATGATTGAAATGATTTTATTCAATAAAGAACAACGTCAAATTTATCTCTAATATTCCTGTTGTATCCTTCATGATATATCGTAGTTCATTTTGTTCTTTTTTTTTGTACAACATAATTCTTATTTCTCGACAGAAACAAGAGCGGTTCGAATTCGCTGGTACAGCAGTTTCGAACTGATTTGCGGCACAGATTCCCATGAATTCCAGTAACTTCAAGCCAGGGCTGTCGCGAGAGGTTAAGGATTGGGGGGTGGGGTGGGTCGAAAAGTTTCTAGAAATTATCGGCATTTTTCGAAAATTTCTTAAAAATTTTTAAAAAACATCAAGCAAAAAAATACAAAATTTCTGAAAATTGGGGGGGGGGGGGGCGTCTCCCCCCGGTCGCGACAGCTCTGCTTCAACCACTATCCAGAGATCTAATTACAAAGGCATGACTTCTATGGGTCTGGCGCCATCTTTTAAATCTATGACAACAGACACGACACTTTGTTCCTATTGGAGAGTGCCAAGAAGTGATTAACTAAATAGAAAAAATCAAGCTTTTCCTCATTGAAATTTCCCTCAGTACATGATGACGGACTTTTCCATTTTTCCATACGGCAGGGAATAATTCAGTCTTTTCAAAATTACAACATGACTTAAGATGAGTCATTGAAGACTAATATTACGAAAGAATGACGTCAGTTGCAACAACATAAAAAACAAATAAAATACTCGTAAGTCTACAGGTATACGGCTTTTTACCTGATGTTAAGTGATCTTCACTTGTATGCAACCATTCTATCATACTTGATATTCATACGCGGAAAATTAACAATCAATCGAATAGATTTCGTTGTCTTTTTCTTTTTTTAAATACAATTTGTTACTCTAGCAGATTAATGTTCACAGAAACCTGCTTGTGTTCGTCATTGCAGCAATTATTTAAACAAAGTTGGTTATTACCTTTCGGTTTGTTGTAATGAATGCTTCATCTTCAAACTATATGAGTCATAATATTTGGTTTATCTTGACGCATATCGTAAAAGGGAAAAAGAAAAGTGTAAGGACTTGTCGAATGTCGTGTTCTGCATAGTCGTTCGATAGGTTGTTTATTACACTTGTACAAAGAGGTAATTGATTCATTTTTTGACGAATACTTATTGGGATGACGAATATGTACAGAGCGATGGTAACATTGATCTGCCAGAGCACTTCTATTTTTTTCTAAATAAAACGTGTCAAAAGAAAAGAGTAAGATATTAAAAACATAATTTCATCCATTAAACATAATGTGGACATTCGTGTGAACAACGTTGACAAAAAAAATCAGCATGATTAACGTTATCATTAGAAAAATATCGGCTTATATCATTCCTTTCTCTAGACGCAAATTCGTGTAGAAAATTATTATATTTTTCTTATACACAGGACACTGTCCTATGGTAATCTTGTTGCTCTGATAGATTACTCATTTTCGTCATTGCAACATGCATTTTATCGGCGTTGTTGATTTATCAATTGTTAAATGTAAAAAGAAAATTCCATTGAAAGTACATAGTGTACGACATTATTGATGCCTTTATTGTTTGCATATTCCCTTATGAGATGTTTTTGTTGAAATGTGTAAGAACAGAATAGATCTTATTATGCGCAATGTTAATAAGAATTGTGTAATTCAAGTATTCTCATAAATTATTTTGTTTAGCGATGACATCATCGTCAGCAACGTTACTTAAAGAACGAGATGCATTTCGTAAACGACGAGCTGATGCAGCAAGTTTTCTTGCCTCGAATGAGAAACGTCAAAATATTGATAAAACATCATCACAAAAACTAAGTCGATCAAAAACTTCTTCAAGTTTTAGAACTCTTAATAACTCGTCAAGTATGTCTTCTGGAGAAGACTTTTCAATACTAAGAATTATTGTCGAAGGATTACATGAACGTTTTCTTAGTGGACAAATTGATCCATTAACATTAGATGAAATTATAAAAGACTTTGGTCTGACAATTAATTCATCTGTTAGACATTGGCTAGCTTCTCAAGTACTTTTATCGAATGAAAAGATTGATGTTAAAACAACAGATAATATTCATAGATTTGTATATAAACCATCGCTTGATTTAAAAGGTCCAAAAAAATCTTCCCTTCTCAAACTTTTAAAATCACGATATGAAAACGGTGAAAATGCTGTAACTGTTGAGGATGTACGAGATTCAATACAACAACCAAAAGCTGACAAACTTATTCGTAGTTTGGTAGAAAGTGGTGATGTTGTTAAAGTAGAAAGTAGTAAAAGAGAAGTTTTATTTTATAATGATCGTCATTTCAATATTGATATTCATCAAGAATTTATTAATGCATGGAGAACAATATCAGTTGAACATTTGACTAATGAGCAGATTCATAACTTTATTCGTGAAAAAGGATATTATAGTTTAACAACAAATGCACCAAAACTAGCACAATTACCAAAAAAACCATTAAAACGAGTTGTTCGACGTCCTGTTACATTGAAACATAACCAACATGTTATCGATCAACTCAATGATTATTCCAATGCAACAAATACAAAATAATATCTACCTTGAATCTTGTCTTGTAATATAGTAATTTATAATCAAATATAGTAAAAAAGAAAAATGTATTCAAAGTATATAATGAAACACTGATCCAACACACATATTGTGATAAAAAAAATATAACGGCTATTGTTAATGTTGGTCAGTCAGAGTATCATTGAAAGAAACAAACTGTCTTGTAGATATAGTAGTATTTGCTATTTATTGAGTGTAGTATTCTAATTTCATGTCCAATGAAGTTAAGCAAATTTATATGTATAGATAAAATACGAAAAATTTCTTTTGTTATAATAGTGTGCTCATTGACTTAGACAGAGTTCTAATCTGTTGATCGAAGAACGACAGTCAATATCTTACTGATTTTAGAGAGTTGATTGCTTGATTTGATTTTAAGATGATCACTCGATCAAATTATACTTCATGGAAGAGAACACGTACTCTTCATTTAATATCACAGTGTAGAAATGTTCATAGTAGTAAAAACCCTCTAAAATAATTGTCCCAATGTGAGGATAAACAAAAAAATTTACAAGATTTATTTGCATTAAATTATTATAAAAATCTAAATGATTGTTTACTCGTTTGAGTAAAGAGTGACAGATATACTCCTACTCATGTCCCTATGAGAAATACACGTAGATGTGAGTATAAATATTAACTTTAACAGACATACACTATTCTCCTATTACAGTTATTTCTATTGAAAAAAATGAAATTATTTATGTTGTGGTACTAAAACTAATACATGGAATATGTAACCACTGTAGTACATATGACTAACAGTAGCTAAATCTCAATCAGGATGATATTTACGGTAGTCAGATTGAACAAAGAAGGAACAAGCTAAACTTTGTTTATTGTAAATAAGAAAAATATTTCAATGAAGATTTGTTAGTGACTGTAAGTAATAAAAAGAAATCATTGTAATTACTACATTTGATAAAGGATAATGAGATAAAGATATGAAAACATGGAGACAAGACAATACTGTATTATAATAAATAAGAATGTGTTCACTAATATGTTCCATAAAAAAATAAATAATGATTTTGTTCATTGAAAACAGAAATCTCATCATTTGATTTTCCTTTTATTGCATATATGTTATCACAAAAAAAAGCAGCATGCAATGCAATAAAAAATGAATATATAAATATAATAAAAGAAGCAAAAATTATAATAATAAGTCTTTCATTAGTAATTGTTCTGTTTTTTTTTCCTCTTAACTTTACCATGTCATGTGTACAGATGCTCGAAGACCCAATAATGTCAAATAAGTAATACAAAG